AAAAGTTTGCACTCCTTATTCTTTGCACAACTTACCTAAATAATTGCTGCCACTCTTCACATTTAGGCTCGATATGTCATATCATGACACATTACATGTTATTTGGTCCAAGATATTTCCTGTTCTGTTTCATTTTGTCGTGTTGACAAATGAAACAGAACAGGAAAACGTATTTGGCATCAAAGAGTATAAGTGAAATAGAAACAACTGTCACTATGTTTTGCTAATACCTTCCTCCAAGTCTGTTTTGGGGTCTCAATAATGTTAGTGTGAGGCATCTCAGCAATGCCTGTCTCTTCAGGTCTCAAGGTGCAAAAACACAAATAACAGAATCAATCCTCTGGACATTAGGGGGTAGCACACATTAATGTACAATTCCTCTAAGATGTGAGCTGTCTATAAATGTTCCACAAGTTGTTTTCAAAAGAAAAAGAAACTTGTCTCCAAAATTCCCTGCTGCATAGTCAAGAAAAGCACTACTTTTTAGAGAAAATTAACCAAAATAATCAACTTTCTCCTATTAGTAAGTGCAATATAGCACCTGTTTCTTCTCTTCGTTGTCCTCTCAAAGACAGTGTCTCTGGGTAGTTTCCCACTCACTAGTCTTGTGTCTCTCAGATGTCACTGCCAGGAACAGGTTAATATATATCTGGAATGAGGTTGACCTAAATAGTGAGACTTGGGCTGTCAAAATAATTATTTTTTCATCTTCCAAAATATCCTGATCGCTATCATTGAACAGTTGCTCTGAGAGCAGTTTATATGGTGAGGGAAATAAAGATCCAAGTCCAAGTCGAAGTATTATGTGTTTGTTGCTTACATTTTGTCCTACTGAATAGAGACAGGTGTAGGAGAGAGAGAAAGAAATCCCTGGGTACTTGACTGATACTGTCAGATCACTACTGCCTTACCAGCTGGACCTTTCTCCCTTCCTGAGGTCAGCCTACAGCTCTTCTTCAGATTCCTCTTCATGGTTCTCTTCTCCAAGAGTTTCTTGTATTTTCTCTTGTTTTGGAGCTTCTACAGCTAGTCATTCCTAAGACTAGCCGTGATGCTTTCAATGCAGCAGTTTTACTGTTATAGTTATTAGGTGGGGGTGTTGTGCATTTGGGGGGTAATTATATATCTCCCATCAAACTACTTTTCATGCTAATGAATACCTTTTAGTGAATCTAACAACATGAGAGAATTAATATTGAGACAAATGCTGATTAAGGGAAGACGGGGGAAATGGGAGGGCGGACAGATGTGGTTAATTAGGTTTTCTGGGTAACTGGAAGTTAAGAACAAAGCCATTTTACATTGTTCACGTAAAAGGGCCATTAAGAACTTCAAGTCCACTGTCCCTACTTAGTGAGTTGAGTGCAATGATACACTTGAATCACTCTTTACTAATTGAACATCTTTCAGAGCCTCTAGCCATCATTTTAAGGATTAATTTTGATTGACCATCTACACAAATGCACAAGAGAGAAATCGTAAGACTGAAAGCATACTTACCCCAAAAACAACCCCGGAAAATTGTTTTATTGACTGAGCTCATTTTATTATCATCTACTTCTATCATGCAAACGCAAAATGAAACAAAATAAATTATTTGAAAAAGCTTAGGTAATTGAAAATTCTGGGTAGTTGGATGGTCATTAATAAAGGACTTTAAATGACTCACCTGGAAGGGATTCTGACGGTCTCCATCAAGTTGGCTTTTTCAGGGTTATGTGCAAAAAGGTTGTTCTTACACGCACTTGCTAATCTAGCACTTTGAGCAATTTCCATGGGGTGAAAAGGACATGCTGACCTATTCACCCTGTTGCTCTCTTCCTTGGTCTTTTGTGAGACCAAGAGCAAGGTTTATGAGACTTTTGCTGAAGAGTTTGTGTAGTGGGCTCAGTGAGAGCTCTGTTTCTCAGGGCCAGAGCTTTATCTGTCCATATGAGAGTTGAAACTGCCATCCCAGAAATGGATCATAACTCACCAAGCCTGACAAAAAAGAAGAGTGAAAGAAAGGATGGAAGAGATAAAAGAAGAAAATTTCCTGTAACTAAATTACCCACTTGATTTTTCCCACGTTGGGAAAAGCTATGTAGCACCTTAAACCAGAAACCTGAGATTCATCGTGAATTCCTTCTTCTCCTTTACGCTCTCTTGACCAAAGTCATTTGCAATCCATACCATTTTGGTAAACTTTTTAATTAAACTATAACAGTGCACAATGTTATTATAGAGCCACTATGTAGAAAGTCTTAAGGTAAGGCCATCCTGCTCCATTTCAACTTCAAATTAGCCAATATCTCTTGCTTGAACTACTGCATTAGCTTCCTCATCAGTCTCCGCACTTTCCCTCTTAGCCCTGCACAGTTCATTCTTCACAAAAAAGCCTCTGGGATCCTTGCAAATATAAATGAAATCGTGCTTTCCACAAACTCACCTTCTATCACTCTTTCCTTCCCCTGCCTCACCTGTTGCTCTCTAGTCTCAGTGGCTGAGTTAAATATTGTTCTTTTTGCTTTTGTTTTGCATGTGTATGGTACTGAGATGCGACCCGGGAAGTGCTGCAATTTTTATTTTAAAACAGGGACTCACTAAGTATCATCGCAGGCTAGCCTTAAACTTGCAATTCTCCTGCTTCAGGCTCCCACAAGTGTGAGGCTAAAGTGTGCCACTGCGCCCAACTCACAGTGGATGTTTTATTGTTATTGTTTTGTTGTTAATTTTAATTTTTCTGCTGGTCCAGGTGTTTATCTTACTGAGGGCCTTTGCATTGCTGCCTCTCCACCTGTGTTAGCACTCTTCTGATTCTTCTCCATAGCTGGGCTATTTTATCTATATTTATGCTTTATTTCAGCATAAATATTACCTTCTTGTACAGAACTTCCCTGATTCTCGAGCAAAATTCATGATTGGTTCTCCACATATATTATCTTCGTATCATGACCCTGTTTTCCCCATATAGTTTTTAACACAAGAGTACTTTTATAATTATCAGTAAAATCATCTATTTAATTTCTACTTCCACCCTAGAACTTGAGCTATAGAATTATGAGAATGAACCCATGGCACACGTGTTACTGTATTTTGCCTTTAAGGCAAAATATCTTAATGTAGAGTTGTGTTTTTGTAAATTAAAACCTCAGTATTCAGGTTTAATTGCAGTGTGAGCCCATTGTGTTAAATAAGTGGCTTTGGGTTGCACCTTGGTACTAGGTCTCTAAAAGGTTCACCATCACTGCTCTAGAAACTTGAGGCCATGACTTCTTTGTTTATGGTTTTATTCCCAGTGTTTACCTATTTAGTACTCCACTCCACACACAGTAGGAAGACAATAATATGTAGTATTTGTATCTGAAGACGTGGGTGAGTGAGTAAAGCAATGAAATTACAAAGAGCCTCAACTGAAACCTCTCTTTTACATCTACATTAACTTCTCTTCACTGCAATAAAAGACAAGATGAGAGAGGATTTAGACAGGCTGTGTGCTTTTGAATTTGGAGGCACCAAGGAACATATCTGCAAGCCAAAGGGGAAAATCAACTTTATTCCATTACTAATTAATGAGACTTGGGATTGAATGATAAAAATCTAATGATGTTAAATGTTGGTTCTGAATGCTGACTGACAGTCTCTGAAGACAACATAAAATGCTAAAAGGACGCTGCAGTTTGATCCCCCAATTAGGATAGAGCTGTGTCCTCCGGGACAGCCTTAGCTGCTGATTGACTTTTTCTTATCCATTATAATCATAATCAGTATTACCCCAGGCAATGCAAAACTTCCAGATCCCTCCACTCGAGGTGGGTCTCCCTTCCACAAGCCATGGTACTAACAATCCAGACTGGTGCAAAGGGCAAATTATGGGGAAATTCTTTCATATTAGAGAAGCATTCTTAATAAGATTCCTTTGAATACTCAGCTCCCTGCGTGCATTGCAACCAGAATTTCACTGCAAAAATAGGACTTGTCTGTAACCGTTAAGGACACATTGCCATTATCCAAAGTAAAGCAGCAAACATGACTTTGCTTGATTCTCTAGCCACAGACCAAGCTTCTGCCTTGAACAGTCACTGAATAAAGCCCTTACCTCTGGTCTCACATTTACCCCTAATTTAAACCACAATACAAAATAATTTCCAATCCTCCCATAGCCCAGCCATTAGACCAGACAACCATCTCACAAATATGAGGCTTTGAGCACCCCAAGGGTATGTGAGGAAGGGCAAGCAGCATCCATGACTCACTGCTAAGCCATTCCCGCTGCTGGAAAAAAATAACTCTAAATGCGCATCCTACTACTTGTGAGTCAGGAATGTCATTTTCATTTATGAAAGATGAAACATTATTTTTCTCTAACATTTCAAGTGAATAACTTTACATATATTTCCCCCCAATTTCCATAGGAATTTGATGCCATGGAAGCAATCAGCTACGCATCCCCAGAGCCTGGCAGAAGCTCCTATTTCTCTTACAGTCACTTTAAGATCAATAATTCTGAATTCTCCTCCTCCCTTCAATTACTATCCTGGTAAGATCCACCCTAGGGGTCCAGTGAGGGAGACAATTGTCTGAATTCCAACATTATTTTAGGATTTCAGACTCAGTTTTTTACTGAGTGTTAGAAACTGACTTTCAGAAATTCAGGCACTATTACATTCAGAGAAGCTTCTAAGCCTTCTCCCTGTGAAAGAGTGTTTGCCTCCCACTGTGAGATTCCCTAAGGCATTCATCATCGGTTATGTCAAGGAAAAGAGTGGAAAAGAGCATAAGAGACGCCCTCTTTGTTCACTCTCCAGGGTATAATGTTTTATTTCTTCAGCTATTAGGTAAATACACCTAGTAGAACAAAATAGAAAATACATTCTGGAGAAGAAGAGACAGAGCATTTGAGTTATGTTCGAGGTGTATTTCTGGTGCGATTGCTTTCCATCAGTAACGCTGTCTTTTGTCAACTGGCTATACTATGCACTCTTTCTTTTTCTCAGATCTGGTTCCTGAATCTCAAATATATGAGTAATCAGACCGCCATCAAAGAATTTCTCCTCCTGGGATTTGGGAGTCTCCATGGGTTACGGTTTTTCCTTTTTGGAATATTTCTGGGAATCTATGTAGTGACCTTGCTGGGGAATATCCTCATCCTTACAGTCATTTCCAGTGACCACAGCCTCCAAACGCCCATGTACTTCTTTCTGTTCAATTTCTCCTTCCTTGAGATCTGGTATACTACATCCATTGCCCCCAAGATGCTGCAGCTCCTTCTCTCTGCTCCTAGAGCTATTTCTTTTGCAGCCTGTGTGGCCCAGTTTTATTTCTTCGGTTCCATGGCAGTAGTTGAGTGCTTTCTGCTGGCAGCCATGTCTTACGACCGCTACCTTGCTATCTGCAGCCCGCTCCGGTATTCAGCCCTAATGAACATCCGCACATGTGTCCTGTTTGCAGGTGGGTCTTGGTTGGGTGGTTTCTTAACTCCTGTGGCCACTGTCACTATGACTTTCCAATTGCCATTCTGTGCTACCTATGAGATTGACCACTTCTTCTGTGATCTGGCCCCTGTGCTGAAGCTGGCTTGCTCTGATCTTGAGACAGTGGAAAAAACTACTTTCCTCATGGCTTCCTTTGTCACTATGGTGCCTTTCCTGCTCACCATAGCCTCCTATATCTACATCGTGGCTGCTGTGCTCAGGATACCTTCATCTTCAGGAAAACAACGGGCCTTCTCCACCTGCTCCTCTCACCTCATTGTTGTAACGCTATACTATGGAACACTGGGGACAGTGTATGCCATTCCCACAGCAACTCAGACTGCTTCTCTACACAAGATCTTCTCGTTACTCTACACTGTGATCACCCCCATGATCAACCCCATCGTGTACAGCCTGAGAAACAAGGATGTTAAAAAGGCAACGAGGAGACTTTTAAGCAATTGGGTATACACCAAGATCTAAGGGTCCTCACCATCATGAAGAAGGCCCACTTCTCAGCAGTCTGGGCTTCTCCAAAGGAGGCCAGGCATGGGCTGAGAACTTGGAGGGTTAGGCCACTGCTGCTCCCTACTCTCTAGGAAATGGCAGCAGATCAGGGGGCCTTCCTCAGGTCATACAGTCTGATGTCCTTATGCTCTCCAGGTTAACCTTTGCACAGTAAGATTAAGTTTAACAAGACACATATGCCTCCACTGGGCTATACTACCAGATACAGATGCCTTTTAAGGGGGAATTAGAGAGATCTTTCCTGCAGCTACACTTTTGTGTCATAAAAGCTCCCTTTTTTCTCTTTCTCTTTCTCTATGTGTGTATGGAAGTGTATGATACAAATATCTGGTGGTATTAAGGTTTTTGGTTAAATTATAGACTTATATTCATGCAAATAAACACAGAGAAATACACAGAGAGGAGTTTGCCTACTTATCCACATAGTCCCAATGCCCTATGTATCCTGACCTATGCTTTAGTATTTCCTGTGCTACCCTTTAGCTTCTGCCCCATATGCCCTTCACTGCGTGTCCCCTCAGGACTCATGCACATTCTAGCTGCTGTATCTTACCTTCTTCTCATTCTTAAACCATATACCTCTCCATGGATTTTTGACTAGTCTCTAAAATTCTAGAGCAGCTATTGATTGTTCCACTCCCTGAAGCAGTTGATGAAGACCCTCAAAGTTCGAAAGAGCATTGTCTTTGTTCCTCATTTCCCCTAGCATGGTGGTTTGCACAGAGTAGATACAAAAGAAGTATTTGTTTATTAAGTAAATAAGAGACTAGTCAAAACAATAGGTGTGTAGTGGATAAAGACAATGAAATAAGTCACTTTTTAATGCCTATTCTGGTCTTTCCTGCCCAGGTCCCTCATCCTATACCCACACTTCCTTCCACAAGCAACCCCAGTGGAACTACCCTAACCTTCCACCCTGCCATGCCCTCCAGGCATCCTTCCCACAGTGTACGGATGAATATTTTTACAATACAAACCTAAACTTGCCTTTTCATTGTTTATTCCTGTCCTCCCTAGTTCCTCACTGTCCTGGGGATGAAGTCAGAACTTCTGAGCTTGGCCTCTGGCATCCTTTTTTCTCTCCCTCTTATCCCTCTTCATGCATTTTGTGCTCCAGCCACACCAAACTTTTCAAACAGATTTGGAAGCTCCTTAAAGTTACAGTCATTTCCTTGCCATGTCTTTCTTCCCCATAGTACCTAGATCCAGGGCAGGACAAAACAAAACAAAAAAATAAATAGTGGCCCAAATCAGATATCTTAGGTGAAGTTAATGTAGTCATTGCCTATCTTTCCCCTTAGTTTCTATTTATTGGTTTCTAGCCTAAGAAGCCCTTTAGTTTGAGGAAAAAGTTAATGATGACTGACTGTCAGTGTTGTGTGTGTACATGTGGTTTTGCCTCATTGTACTTACTCATGCTCTCTAGTTATAAAGAGACACTAGAATCATAGACAGACACCCCAAAAATCTCCACTTACAAAATGAGCCAAAAATGCCAAGTAGTTTCTGAAATGCTTTCCCAGCTGGCTCTTCCTACGCCTTTTCCAACAACCTACAGAGCACCCTGTTGCACAGGGTCTAATTGTCTATGACCTAGTTTTAACTTCCTGGAATTATCTATGGTTATGAAAAAGAGCTGCTGAACACACTTCTTGTGCTTAAGACACGCGATGTAGAATGGAAGTGGAATTACTTCCCAGGCTCTTACTGTTGACCTCGCTTGTTCTGTAAATGCACAGTGGAAAGGCCTCATCTGCTTCATCCAAACAGGTCTTTGGTTTTTTTTTAAGTACAAAATTCTAAAGCACTTTTAGTGTGTTGGCCACTAGGAAATTATAAAATTATCCAGCAGGCCAAGATCAATTAAACCTAGAAAGCTTCAGTGATTTTCCATTGCCTTTAGGATAAAGTCTAAATGCTCAATGAAAGAGACCAATATCTATCGCAATATTGAAGGGCCTGTAATCCATCTCAAGACCATTCATAGACTATGATGACGTATAACTCTTACCTAAGTCCTGATTTTTTTTTCATTGCTTTCTGAAATTTTGTCTTCCCAGCTTTAAATTCCTCAAACTTATTTGCCACCTCAGAACTTTCCTAATGCTGTTTTTTTTTCCTCCCTATCCCATTTACCGTCTAGCTAATGTTTTGGGTACTATTCAGTCATTTTGTAATATGCTTTTAGAGCACTCTGCTGGTTTTTCATTATAACTTTTCCATGACCACAGTCAAATAATTATCTGGATATACAATATATAATCAAAATATATGTTGAATGTTTATCTTAAAAATTAATACAATTAAAGACAAAATTATTATTAATGCCCCTCAAAGTACACCCTCATTATTCTAATACACTTACTCCATGATCATTGCCTCTTTCTGAAGCAGTTCTGGAAAATGTCTTTTGTGAGTTTTTATGAGATGTAATAAAGAACACAGTGAATGCTGCTGCAGGATGTCATCCAACAGAAAAGCAGACTTATAAAAACAGTAGGTGCATCCTTATCTACCTTATTCACTGAATCTGGCACTGTGTGACTTGTGGCTATTCCTCAAAGTCAAGATGATCACAAAAGGTAAGTATTTGAATTGATTCCAGGACATCTAGGCAGTCACTATAGGCATTCATTAAAAAGGAGTCCCAGAACTGCTTCAGATAGTGACACAAATGATGGAACAAGTATGTGCTAAGTGAGAGGTAGCATTTTAAGGGAATATGAAGGCCTTGTGTGTTTTCGTATAATACGTATTTTTTATTTAAACATTCATCAAATGCTTCTATTGGATCTTGTGTGGGTGTCGGTGGGGTGTGGGTGTGTATCGACTATAACCTTCACAATTGGCAGGATTTGGGTTAGTTTTGCTTGAATACTATGTCTCCAGCATCCAGCATAGCACTTAGCACTGAGTAATTGTTCAATAAATGCTTGTTAATAAAAGAATGAAAAAGAGTTATCTACACTCATTTCATTTATTTGACAATCCATTATGCTGCTCTCATTCAAGATGCTGTTATTTAGTCTTGTGAGGCCAATTAATTTCGGTTTCTTCCCCAAACCACGGTGTACTTCAATATCTTCTGCCACTTGTCTCACTAATGTGTGTGTGATGCTCAAGAGGAAAGTAGAAGTGTGTAGACAGCACAGGACAGCCCATCCTGGGTACTGGAAAACGTGGCGAAATGTGTCTAGGTCACAATGGTAGTCAAGCTTCCCTGATGAACCCCAAAGATGACACTTTTCTATCATTGTGTTTTGATTGATGCACTTGCGTCTGCAATGTGAATCAATTTCCTCTATTTGGTGAAACGTTATGTTAATGATTGGACAGAATAATTAATAGCAAAACAGATTAAATTTTCATGTATCTGTGCAAGCCAAAGAGAAATTATCCCATTAACCTGATAGTACAAACTGTCATACTAGATTAGAAGAGTTGTAGCTTCAATTTGTACCTTAACTCCCACTGTTTTGGCCAGATGGCTTGCCAGTACCTCAACAGCTGCTCAGGAAAGAGAACAAGGAAAACTGGAATGGGCAAGTCTGAGAAAAAAAGAGAGAAAATGAGTTTCAGGCCTGATCTAAAGGAAAGTTGCCAGCAGTATTTGTCCCAGCCTTAAAGGTTTATTCATACCCACATTTCTGTGCAAAGCAAACAGAGTAGGAAGTAAAGCAGGTGGCGTTCTCAGGACAGTGGCACAGACTGTGTCGAGGTAAAAGGCTGTAATTGTGTTTCTGAGGAGTGTGAATGGAAGTAGAACTCCAGAAAGAGACAGAGTTTGGGACTTTAGGAAAAGGGGATTGCCACAAGCTAGGTACAGTGTCAGGAACTCAGTCAAATAAACTGGGCTTCAAGGGTTAATCATAATACAAGCCAATAACAGAGACAAGCTATATGCAAGGCCTCTGGGCAGGGTCTCCACGATTTCTCACCTTTAACTGTTCTGTCTGTTCTGTCTTTTCAAACTCCACAGACTGCTCAAGTTCTCATTCCATCTTCAGCCTCATCAGTGGTGCTAGGTCAGTGCTGTTATGAAAATGAATGAATCTGGGGACAGGATGTCAAATCTCAATACTCTTTTGGTTGATCATAGTTATGGTTTAGCAAAGCTGATATCAAACTTTTTTTCATCATACTAGTGAAGCCATGGGAGGGGTTATGTGGCAAATGGACCAGCATTTATATATCCAAATGAAAATTATCCTTTTCACAGAAGTCGCCTGGGAATCTATACATTTATGGTCTGATGCTTTGGCATGTTTTGTAGATATTTTCTTTGGATCCTTAGATAAGTCTTTCAGGTCTATTTAACTGAGGCTAGTTTTTATCTTTTAAGATTGGACTTAAATTATACAATAGCCAAAAGTTTTATTGACCTTTCTCTACTCCATAATGTTAGAGATTAAACTGAGTGGTACCATTCAAACAAGGTAGCTTTTCCAACTATTATTTTTAGAATTACAAACTCTTAAATGTCATCTAGCCCTTTGCAATAAACCAGAGACAGCCAGAATTTCAGGGGACGGACTCAAACAAAATATCAGAGGTGACATGGATTTTAAGATGACCTTGAATATTATGTAGCAAGTACATGCAGGTGACCACAATGTCCTTAATAGTAGGCTAAGTAGTCTGCTATTGCAATGGCAATTATACAAGTCAAGGCAAGAAATAGGTAGGAGGAATATGGGAGCCTCAAGAACAGATGGAAATATAATATTAAAGTAAATGTTAGAAAAGCCTATAGAGAAGCAATTTGGAATCCTGCTGTAGGGAATCTAGAAGATCACTTGGGGAACAAAATCTAGATATGCATTCTAGAATAAAGTGATAGGAAATGAAGTAGGACTGCAATTTAAAGTCATATCATGACAAACCAGAGTAAGCCTGCATTTCTGTTATTTCCCATATATCAGACTAAGATTTCTCCAAGGGCCTAGGTCAGACCT